AAAAATGAATTCTTTGGCATCTTTGAAAGAGAAGGAAGCCTGGTTTCCTCTTTAATTTAGCTTTGTTGGTGCGAATTTTTGCTGTAATTTCCACAGCAAAATGGAGGTGCCCTGGGTTTTGAATTTGGGTAGGAAAGAATAATTGTTTGGGATTAAACATCTCACATAGCCAAATGCTCAGGTGACTGGAGCTGACTGCACCGGACTGCTCATGGCTGACCCCTGTCCCAGCTTGGCCTCTGGCATAGCTCTAGGACTTCGGGCATCTGTGGATGGGGAGTATACAGGGAGAGATAAGAACCTATTAACTTCTAAGATGGTCTACTACATGGACTCCGTGGATCAAGTCTGGGTGAAAGGGGGAAAAGTAGGAGCAAGGAGATATGTGCACATGTCGGTGTGGGAAAGTCACTGAGGCTCGTACCGTCTGGTCATATACATTGTCTATGCATCTGCTGGGAGCCTTGCCTCCCTCTTCGCCCTTCTTTATCCCCAGCTGCCTGCCTACTCACTGATCCTCAGAAAAAGGGAAAATTGGGGCCCTGGGAAGGCCTGGGAGGCTAGCATCTGTTTGCCCACTGCCCCCAGTGCTCCAACAGTCTGGTGGCCAGGCCACTGCCTCTATTCCTTGCACCTGAGATGCAAATGACTTCCTGTCCTTGAACTTTGGGGCACATGGTGCATGCCAGAGTCGTCTCACTGTGGAGTCCCCCTGCCTGGGGCTCAGAGCTAAGACAGATTGTGAGTCAAGCTGCCCTGGTGAGATCCAGTGAATTACCATCCATCTCTTCCCGCCCAGCATCATTATTCCTGGAAAGGCTCCTCTAGGGCTCTGTTGGACATTGGGCAGGGGCTGCAGGAGGTGATTACAGAACATTTCATTGTTCTCAACCAGTGTGACTCATTTCTTCATGCACCGAGCCCTGAGGGAGAAGCCGTTACTCTCACCCTCACTCCAGCTTCTGAATGAATGCAGCTTCCCACAATTAGCCAGCTAGTGGGGGCAGGCTGCAGAGCAGACTCAGCAGAAACTGGCCCTAAGATGTCCCACAGTCAGTAATAATTAGCAAGGCCTTTGTTGGTGGGTTAGTTTGTGAATGTATGTATCCTGCCTTTATCCTTGAATGATTTTAGGATGGGTAGTCAGTTACTGACTGATTAAAGGAGCCCTTTTCTGGGTGTTTGGAGACCTTCATTCTGGGCTCAGTAATCTTGGGCATGTCACTTCACCTTGCTGGACCTCCACTTCCCTATCTGAACGATGGGAGAAGTAAATCAGTTTTGTCTGCTATTGGATATGAGTAGCCCCCATGGAGTGGATGCGAAACCGCATCCTCAGCCCTCCCCTCTGACCCCAGCTATCCCTGCCCAGGGTTTTTAGGGAGGATATTGGGACAGCTTTATGAAAGCAGATTCTGGGGGCTGAGAATGGTCTCAGGCTCAATATCAACATGAGGAGTGCTGATAAAGTAATGCAGAACCATATTTGTGAGCTCAGTGACATGCCTGCCACAGCCACGTGGTCCCCACCCCCGAGTGCACAAGGACATGGGCCAGAAGCAGGCCCCTGCTTGGGGCTCTGGGCTGGCCTTCACACACTGCCTCTTCCCTCCCAGAACACTGGATATTTCCTCTGCTAGGACATAGGGGCCAGGCGGGGATGTGGAAAGACCAACCAGACTCCCATCCAGCCATCCAGGAACCTGTGTTCAGTAATAATCATATGCACACTAGCAGCGAACACTCACTGAATCCTGGCTGCATGCTTCATCTGACTTATGCCTCACAAGGGCCCTAAGAAGGTGTACTTTCACTTTCTGCAATTTGCAAATGAGGAGCTGGAGTTTAAACAGGATAAGTGACTTACCTGGGATCACAAAGCCAATGGTGGTGGGAGACACTGAACTCTCATGTTAGTTGATGAGCTTTGATTGAAGGATCGCTGTGGAACCAGACAAATATAAGTTCAAATCCTAGCTCTCCAATCCCCACACTGACTACAGGCAACTCACTTACCCTGCCTAACACTGACCTTCCTTATCTGCTAAAACAAGACTTTGCTTGTGAGAATTAGGAATATTATATGAGAAGTTCAAAACCCAGCGCCTGAAATACAACAGACACTTGGTGAAATGGTAGCAATTACTAGTAAGATATGAGAGTCGTGGGGGAAATGTTGCTTCCCCCATGCCCAGCATACCAGCAGGAGGGTGTTGGGATGAGTGGTACCCAGGGTTACCCAATGGATCAGAGGCATGAATGTACACAGCTGCTGTTCTAGTGAGGTCCACTCAAGCACCTGTGGGTCACCCTGAGTGGTGGGTCTCAGGAGGCACTGTGGGGGTGGACAAGCATCGGAACATTTGGGGAAATTGAGATAGAGATGGAGGTGGGAAGAGAACGTGGGCATTTTAGATGTTCACTTAGCAGCACTGATAGAATCACTTGGGGTGTGCACTGATAAATTACACTGTGGCTGCCCAGTGCAGTTAGAGAGTCCTCGACCAGAAAACAAGAAATGGGTTTGTAGCTCTAGCTCTGCTACCTTTCTGGGCTTCTACTTCTCATCTATAAAATGGGAATGAAATTCTCTGCCTAACGGAAACAGTGGTATGGGAGCCAGTCATTCCAGTGGGAGCGCTGACAAATGGAAGCGGCATCGTTTCAGCACCTTGGACAGCGTCACGAGCCGCTGTTTCAAGGCTACTCCCAGCCTTCTGAGAACCGCGGGTCCTCGCCCAGACACAGAACACCAGGGTGAACAGGGATGGGAGAAGGCAGAGTGAGGGGTCACATGACACAGTGGTCAGACCAGCAGAGTCCTGGAATACCTGTCTCTGTGAAGATGACCTGATTCAGTAGGTGAGGACGTTTCTTCCCACCCTCCTGAGCTAGGGAAGTAGCTGCATCGTGGATGAGGGGACTGAGTGGAGCTGTCCACCCACCCACTTGCAGGTTAGCATCACATCAGCCCTTTCTGTGGCTCCCCACTGCCCACCAAAGAAACCTCAAATCCCAGGCCTTTGTAACATGCCCTCAAAGTAGTCTGTCCTAATCTCATCTCCCACTAAGTCCTGCCACAACTTGTGCAGCACACATAACTGCTTTCCCCCAAACACAGTACGGTAGTCCCCCTTATCCGTGAGGGATACATTCCAAGATCTCAGTGGATGCCTGAAATTGTGGGTAGTCCTGAATTCTGTATATGCTATTTTTTCCTGTGCATACATACCTGCAATAAAGTCTAACTTATTAGGCGTAGTAAGAGATGAACAGCAATAATTAATAATAGAACAATTATAATAGTATGCTATAAAAGTTATGTGAATGTGGCCTCTTCCTCAAAATATCTTCAAAAAAGCTTTTTTAGAGATAGGGTCTTGTTCCATTGCCCAGGCTGTAGTGCAGTGTCACAGTCATAGCTCACTGCAGCCTCAAACACCTGGACTCAAGGGACATTCCTGCATCAGACTCCTGAGCCGCTGAGAATACAGGCACGTACCACCATGCCTGGCTATTTTTTTTTTTTTTTTTAGCGGTGTCGGGGGAGACAGAGTCTTGCTCTGTCATCAGGCTGGAGTGCAGTGGCCTGATCTCGGCTCACTGCAAGCTCTACCTCCCGGGTTCAAGTGATTCTCCTGCCTCAGCCTCCAGATTAGCTGGGACTACAGGCACATGACACTATGCCCGGCTGATTTTGTGTTTTTAGTAGAGATGGGGTTTCACCATGTTGGCCAGGATGGTCTCAATCTCCTGACATCATGATCCACCTGCCTTGTCCTCCCAAAGTGCTGGGATTACAGGTATAAGCCACCTCGCCCAGCCCATGCCCAGCTATTTTTAAAAAATTTTTGTAGAGGTGGAGCCTCACTATATTGCCCAAGCTGGTCTGGAACACCTGGTCTCAAGCAGTCCTCCCACCTCAGCCTTAAAATATCTTACTGTATTGTACAAACCTACTTTTTTTTTTTTTTTTTTTTTTCGAGATGGAGTCTTGCTCTGTCGCCCAGGCTGGAGTGCAGTGGTGTGATCTCGGCTCACTGCAACCTCACCTCCCAGGTTCAAGCAATTCATCCGACTCGGCCTCCCGAATAGCTGGGATTACAGGCATGTTCCACCACACCCAGTTAATTTTTGTATTTTTAGTAGAGACAGGGTTTCACCATGTTGACCAGGCTGGTCTCAAACTCCTGACCTCAGGCAATCTACCCACCTCGGCCTCACAAAGTGCTGGGATTACAGGCATGAGCCACCATGCCTGGCCACAAACCTACTTTAAAACCACAGGTGACCTCAGGTAACTGATACTATGGAAAGTGAAACCAAGGATAAGGGGCACTCCTATATGTTCTTTGGGGACTCTTTGCTCTTTCTCACACCTTTCCTTCTTACTAGAATGCCCTTCCCATAGTCCCTATTGAACCTATGAAAATCCTTCTCAGCCTTTCAGGAAATCAAAGGCTGCCTCTTCCATGAAGCCTTCCCGGAACACTCCTCTCTTCAGAATTAACCATTCCATCCCTTGTTTCCACTGTGTGTGGCTCATGCTCAGGGCCTATCTCCCTAGAGACAACAACATGACTCCCTCTAACCCTAGACTTCCTAAGCAGCCTACCATGCCTACCACACAAATATCTTGCTCAGCAAACCCTCTGAAATGAATGAAATCCCTGGTAGAACCAATGCCGTTAAAGCAGGCTATAGTGCAGTGGCATAATTGCAGCTCACTGTAACCTCAAACACCGGGGCTTAAGTGATGTTCCTGCGTCAGACTCCTGAGCCGCTGAGAATACAGGCACATACCACCATGCCTGGCCGTATATATATATTTTTGTTTGTTTGTTTGGTGGAGGAGGCACAGACGCTTGCTCTGTCGCCAGGCTGGAGTGCAGGGACCTGATCACCGCAACCTCCACCTCCTGGGTTCAAGTGATTCTCCTGCCTCAGCCTCCCGAGTATCTGGGACTACAGGCATGCACTGCCATGCCTGGCTGATTTTTGTATTTTTAGTAGAGACGGGGTTTTACCATGTTGGCCAAGATGGGCTCGATCTCCTCACCTTTACAGTAAGGAAATTCATGGCATGTCCCAAGGGGCTTTGCCAGTAGTGCTGGGACTTGACTCTACCTGTTGGCTTCTCTGAAATTTAGATAAACAGATAGCAGCAGCAGGACTGGAGCAGCTGATCCCTGACACCATCTCCAGATTCTTTGAGCAATGGCATGAGCTTCTGCCTTATGAAATTTTGTGTAGTGGTTTGCAGAGACTCTGGAGCGAGATTCCCTGCCTTCAAATACCAGCTTTGCTGCATATTAGCTGTGTGACCTTGGGCAAGATACTGTACCTCTCTGTGCTCCTGCCCCTTGTTTCATTTCTTTTCTTTTTCTTTCTTTCTTTTTTTTTGAGACAAAGTTTCACTCTATTGCCCGGGGTGGAGTGCAGTGGTACAGTCTTCGCTCACTCTGCAGCCTTGACCTCTCTGGGCTTAGGCGATCCTCCCACCTCAGCCTCCCGAGTAGCTGGGTCTAAGTTACACACCATCATGCCCAGGTAATTTTTTTGTAGAGATGGGGTTTTGCCATCTTGCCCAGGCTGGTCTTGAATTCCTGGCCTCTCATGATCTGCCCATCTTGGCCTCCCAGTGTTGGGATTACAGGCACGAGCCACTATGCCCAGCCTGCCTCCAGTTTCTTATATGTGAAAAGGAATAATAACACAGCCTCATAGGATTATTGGGCTGACTAAATTAATTAGCACATATAAGGCGCTTAGAATGTCTAGCATATTTGTAATCTTTCAACAAGCATCAGCCATTATTGTTGATGATGCTGCTGCCAATGCTGTTATTATTTACACCGAGGGGTCACTCACTTGAAGAGGCTGACTGGTCCTGGCCTGAGTGCCCTGCTTGGGGGTGGAGGTGTAAATGGGGTTGAGAGGAAGGAGGCAGTTAGTTGAATCTTTCCCCTGGCTGGGAATGGCAGTGTTGCCAAGGGCTCCTAGGTTCCCAAGCGCAGACACAGAACCGAGAATAGTCTTCCTCATCACGTGGGGGAAGAAGGCCGATTCCTCAGCTCCACCGTGTTCCTCTGCTGACCAGCCTTCCTTTCCTTAATTAAGGCTCACCTAGACAACCAGCCTGATGGAGCCTCCTCCACTGCTGTAGGACTAATTGCTGCCACCTTGGTGCCTGCAGTAACCGTCTGTGAGGTCACTGCCAGGGCTGCAAAGACGATTTCTCAGACCCCCTCCCGGCTGCCTCCTCCCACATGGATGCATGGATCTAAGGGGCCCTCTGGCCATTCCTCAGCCCAGATGCTCCCTTTCAGCTGCACTGAGATGGGGACGGAAATGCGGGAAGCAGAGCAGAGGGGCCCCAGTGTCCCCTCCCATGGGATTCAGGGCCCATATTTCTCCCCAGGATGACAGCATTTCTATTACCTTAAAGGGCTCATCTATTTATGCTGCAATTTTTTGAAGCCCTGTCTGCCATTATTGAACCCTGCACGCTGTCGAGGGGAGCGGGCACTCCATCACCCAAATGAACACAGTTGTTTCTGCATTTTTCTCCCTTTTCTCCATGCCATTGCTAGGTCATACAGAAACCTCAGCTGCTCTGACCAGGGGAGGCAGCAGAGGGGGGCAAGAGTTATGAAAATCCAGATCAGTGGAGCAGTGACTGAATTTCCCTCCAAGGTTTCCAATGTCCTTTAAAGATGTCACCCTCCCCCAGCCTCCCCCAGCCGGGCAGAGTGCATGTCTGCCTCTTGGGTGGCTCCCAAGCTGGAACTAGGGAGTGACAGAAGTGTAGCCAGTGGAGAATGCGGACTGAAAATTATAGCCAGGTGAGAAGAACATAATGTGTGTGCATTTTCTCTTCTAATTGTTTCCCTCTTCATCAAGCTGAGATCTAGACTGTTAGCCCTAAGAGCAGAAAGCTAGCTTCTCATCCCTCGGCCCCACTATTGACTAATTTCCCAATTATTGTAGTAAAAGATTTTCCTGAATGTGGCGCAGGGAATGAGGCATTCACCCTCTAGTTGCCATGCCTGTGTGAGCAGAGGAGTACAAATACTACAGAATAGCTGAAATGATCCAAAAATATTAATGTGCACACGCATGCACACGTGCACACACATACACACACACACACACACACTTCAGCACCCAGATCCCAGCTCTGCTATCACCTGCCGTGTGGTCTTGTTGGAGTTACTTCTCAAGCCTTATTTTTTCATCAATGAAACAGGATAATTAATGGCACTATGCTGAGGATCGAATTAGATAAAATATGTAGAACAAAGCCTGGCACATAGCAAGTGTTCATTAAACGTCTGTCGAGGCTTATTATGCGGCTGTGGAGAGGACTACACGCAGAAGGACGTGGGCTTTGGAATCCCACAGCCGTCACTCTGCAGCTGCGTGACCTCAGGAAATATAGCCTCTTAGAGCCTGTTTCTCGTCGGTGAGATGGATTAATAATACCAGTCCCTCCGGGTCGGTGGGCCCACTGAGCGAGATGCAACGGGTAATGTCGTAAAGCAGGAATTGGTCTTCATAACGGGGGAGGTGGAAGAACGCTCAGTGCTTCCATAGTGCACAGCAAAAGAAACCAAGGTCAGAAAGGGAAGGTGAACTTACCTCAGGTCACACAGCATATCTTAACAGAGCTGGGATGGAACACAGGCGACATGACTCCCAGCCCACTGTTCTTGCCGCCTTCACCTCCATCTCATGAGCTTGCTGTACTCAGAGCAGCTACCTGCTGATATTTCCCTGCACAGGGAGGGGTGGTGGGGGTGGCAGGCAGTGGGGGCATGAGGGGAGTCACCGGGGGCTAAATCATGTTGTCAATTAATTCACAGAGCAAAGTAGGGAAAATTGGTTTTATGTCAGTAAGATAAGTCCAGCCTTACCCCTCTGGGACCCCACCATACAGCTTGTTAGGGAAAACTGCTGACTCTTCTACTCTGAAAAATAAACATTTGCCACATCAGACCACCCTCTTGCTGTCATGTTCCTGATGTCCTTATTATCAGTGCCCTCATTACTGGGGCCTGGGCTGGGACTTTGTCTCAGACCTAGTGGCTGCCGCAATCTCTATGCAGCAAAAGCAGCTGCTGGGGCGGATCTGAGGCATCTGTGGTTTAAGTACACCCGGTTTTCTTTTTCTCCAAGTCTCTAGCATAGATGGACCTTCTGCAGGCTCCCATTCCTAGCCAGCGCCCAGGCTCTGGGTCTGACTTCACCAATTCCAGAGGGCGGGGATAGGGCCACAAGTCAGAGGCCTCCCTGAGAGGTCTGGAGAAAGTAGACAACCCAAAGGGGGTGATGCTGGCTCATATTTTGCAGTGGGCCCTAGGCCAGGCACTCTGTCCTATATACCTTGTGTTTAATCCTCACAACCACCGTGTAGTGGGGAGCTGTAGGATCCCCACTTTGTACTTGGGGATTCTACCCATCCTTCCCAACACCTTGTTTCATTGGAGCTTTAACCAGCCCCAGGAGACGGGGTCAGGGTTGGTACCCTCATTGTGCAGAGGAGCCCACGGGCTCTATTACCCCCACAAAATCTGTAGGTTTAGAACAAAGAAAGCTCCCGCTACCCCTGGGCTCAAGCTTCAGTGCCCCAGCCCCTCCCAGCCACCTCTCCCTTAGTCATTAGCACCGATAATCCCATCTGCAAGAGTAATTATCAACCCCAGGAGGGGAAGGGATTCCTGCCAGAAGATGTGATTATGTCTGGAAAATGAAGGATATTGCAGAAAAAGGTCATGAATAAATTATTTCAAATTGGGGCTAGTAAGAAAACTAACAATGGGGGTAAATGCAAAAAACAAAATCTATTTAAAAGTTATCTCCCAAAAACACTAAAAAATAAGTGTCCTCGTGTCTCCTAAAAGTTCTGAGGAGGGAGATTTAATTCCCTGAGACAGGCCCAGGGAAGCCAGGCAGGGGCTCCCTAGCCATGAGGCACAGGTGTCGAGGAAGGTGTAGGGAATGGAAGCAAAAGAGTGTGAGCAGGGCAGGCGGGCCCTGCATGCCAGGGTGGGGTCTCGTCTTAGCAGGCCAGAGGGAGCTGCTGCCACCTGGAGCAGGGGTGTGACAAAACAGTGCTGTATTTGACCTGCATTCTCTGTGTAGGGAGATGGTGATGTCACAGAATAAGAACCAGCATGCAGGCCGGGTGGGTGGTTCATGCCTGTAATCCCAGCACTTTGGGAGGCTGAGGTGGTTGGATCACCTCAGATCAGGAGTTCGAGACCAGCCTGGCCAACATGGTGAAACCCTGTCTTTACTAAAAATACAAGAATTAGCTGCGCATGGTGGCCAGCGTCGGTAATCCCAGCTATTTGGGAGGCTGAGGCAGGAGAACTGCTTGAACCCGGGAGGCAGAGATTGCAGTGAGCAGAGATCACACCACTGCACTCCAGACTGGGTGACAGAGTGAGATTCTGTCTCAAAAAAAAAAAAAAAGCCCAGCATGTAGTAGGCGCTCAGTGGATGCTAGATCCCATCACTCCCCACATGTCTTCAGTGGAGGCTGCTTGGCAGAGTGTGGAGAGCATGGACTTTGAGTCAGGGACACCTGAGTTTGCATCTCAGCCTTGCCATCCTCTTCCTGGGTGACTTAGGGCAGGTTCCCCCTTTGCTCGCCTCGCATGTGGATTTTTTGTAGGATGGTTTTGACATGAGACAGGGCAAGCGCTACAAAAGCGTTTGGCACAGAGCAGGTGAATCGTGGCTGCTTCTTGCACCTGCAGTGTGGCTAGGTCCTGGTGGGTCGTGTGAAGGCATCCGTAGCACTCGCTCTCGATCAGGCGCTGTTCTAAGATCATTATGTATTTTATTTCATCTTCACCAACATCCGTGGAAACCAAGACACAGAGGGGTTAACACCTTGCACAAGGTCCAAAAAGCCACAGGGCCAGGACCTGAACCCAGTAATCAGGTTGCAGAGCCCATGGGCTTGGCACTTCTGCCTGTCCCTGCCTGTGAGCTGCGGGCAAACCCAGAGTGATCCTCATTGCCCCCAGCAGGATGAAACCTTGACTGTGG